CCAATGGAATCTCCTCCGGGAGAATTTTCCAAATGGTTCAAGCCACTGAAAATGCAATCTGATATCCACGGCTTCTCAAGTCAACGAGCGAGATCAAGCTGATACGGGGTGATACGTGCATGGGGAGACGTGGCTAACGCGGAGAGGGTGAAAGGGCATGGGTAGAATGGGCTGATGTGGAAGGGGGGCAGTTGGTGTGTGGGAAGAGGAGGCTGGTGGGGTGGGAGGGGGGATAACGTGAGTGTGGAAAAACAAGCTGCTCTGGGGACGGAATTAATGCCTGGGGAGGGCAGGCCGCAGTCAAGGGGGAGGGGAGGTGAATGGGGACAACAGGCTGATGTGTTGGGCGTGTTGGGCATGGGACGGATAGATGGTGAAGAAGCCTCAAGGTCGGCAGACGCATTCAGACTTGGAGCCGGAATCAGCATTGGTGGATACAGGGTTGCCACTTCTGCTCATGGATGCCACTGGCAATGACCTCAGCTGTACAGCGACGCTAAGCAGCCTTCCATTAAATTTGAAGCCATGCCCGCCAGAAGGTAGGTTAATTGAACGCAGAACGTTTCACTCAGAATGATTCGATCTTCAATTATGTGGAGCAGACACATGGTACAAGAATGTGCAGCAGCACCGACTTATTGGCATCCAGTGCACGTGTCGAGGGTACCATGCCAGAGCCCTGTGCCTTACTCCTGCAAAAGTTTAGGGTGAAGGTTGGGCTGACTTCTTTTGATGCATCTCACGTTTCTTGGTGTATGGTGTACAGTATTCATGATTGGCACTGGGCCATCGCGGCCTCGTCGATTATTCTACCACAAAAAAGATGTCCAAGACCACTGGCAAAGGCACTTTGGCTCAGAGACAGCACGCTTCTGAGGATACCACGCCGTGGCCATTATGAGTAGCAATGGCTGTTTGTCTATGCCATTTGAGTTTGTGATGATATTTATCGATGGACTTTTAGATAGGAACAGATAACACGAGAGAATTACATGTCTCGATTTTTTGTGGGTTGTGGTAGGTCTAAGATTGATAATGCAGTATTATTTTGGATAAGGAGTCAGAGAGAAGATGAAAACGTCTTATTTTGCGCCGATTTTATATTTGTCCATCAGACTGAATCTAATGTGTCTATTGTTCTTGTCGTTTTGCTTAACGCAATGTATCGTGCGAACAGTAGTTTGCAACGAGGAACATATTTCCTCCTGTTTATCAAGTATGATGCGGGAAAGATTGGGCCACCCAGAGGGGGGTCTAGGTGCGAAGAAGGACTTGGGGGTTCGTTGACCTCCGCGGCGTGATGGCGGTACCCGTGGGCAAGCAAAAAACTCCAGAATTGTGTAAGTCGCACTGGAATGTATCTTATTGTCCAAGTGGTGGGATTAGCACACAGCGATGCTTGGGAATTTCTGGCATAAGCAAGCACGTGAGGTGGGAGTGAAAGTGGTGTTGAAACGTATTAATGATTGTTACGGCCATTTTACACTATAGGCATGCTGCATCAATTGTCCAGTACTCAGATTCGTATATATCTATCACGACAGGCGCTGGGTCTATCATCACAGATATTCTGTACCAGGGCCACGTAGTGCGACTGATGATACCATGCCTAGGCAATTCCGCATGACAGGATAGTACCTTATGCAAAACTAGAAGACCGTTATTTTTCACACACACACACACACAATGTTATATATTTGCATGATGTTATTGCACAAGTCGGTGGTCACGCAATCGGCAAATGCATCTTTAGCTACGGATCTTGGTCGATTTTTTGTGAGCGTGTGCTGCCTCGGGCAAACATGCGATTTTCCACCGGGATTCCACTGGGATATTCCTTCACAAACCTATCCACATTTATTGAAATTCGTAGAATTCGTCAAATATTCCGTCAGTTGCTTGGCGACGCTCGACTAACTGCCGGCTATTCGAGTAGTTACCTCGATGGCATAACGCACATATACTTCCCTCCGTGTAACTCATTCCGATTATAAGCGCGTGGCATTATTATTATCATCATCATCATTAAATCATTTACGTCGAAGTGTAAGTCGAAGCCTTCGGATCGAACAAGAAGAGTATGTTCCCCACTAACATAACAGCCTGCAAACAACAGGGGAGCATTCCTCCTATCGAGGACGCAGCAAGGCAAGGCACTAGACTAGGAGGCGTGTCGGCCCACGCAAGTCGTCGGAGACACCAGCGCTTCGGCAACTGGTATGGCGTCCTGTGGTGACGGTGAGCGGAGGTGGGGGTGGAGAGAGTGTCCACGGGCAACGGTTATTGTTTACCCACGGGCAAAGCGCGTGGGGGAAGAGGGGTTAGTCTCTCGGAAAGTACTTGACTTAGGATCCATTGGCTTACCCTAGTGGCTTCCAGTAGTTTCTGACTTACTTTCTTCTACGGGATCACATTCATGAACCAGTTAAGTAATTTAAGTCGTCATTCAATGTCCTACTCTCAGTGCATCCCACCATAGCGCTGACTATGGGCAATGTGATCGCATCTGAGAACGTATCTTTATAGCATCCCTCACCCGGTATAGTGTACGGCCCTTTTCCTGGCCAATAATTGTGAGGAATGAAAGGTGTGGTAACCATTACGTATACTTGACTATTAGTTTTAAATCGCCCTTACCCGTCCACTTTCTAAGGCTTCTTGGTGAAAACTGCAGTATCCATATCCCCTAAAATCCACTCGTAGTTTTCGCCGCCTCTAGTCCTCGTGAGAGGGTTGTCATGACCCCTGAGTCAGAACCTTTCACTCCTCCATCAAAATGAGAGTTGCCACGCCATGAATCGATGCTCGCGATCGTCGAGTCTCATTTTCACGAGTTTCCTGAATTTCGGAGACCCTACAATCTGGGGAAAACCGGAAAACGTCCGGAACGCGCGTCCCGGACATGTTCCGGACGTTTTGTAGGAACGGGGTGTGTTCCTGGTACGGAATGCATGCGGAATGTGGAACGTATTCGTGGTGCGGAATACATTCCACTTCGGAATAAACTAAGAACACGCTCTGGGCCAGCGGAATGCGGAACGTATTCATGATGCGGAATGCATTCCATTTAGGAATAACACGTTCTGGACCAGGAACGGCATGCGGAACGTATGCATGGTGCGCGGAATGCAGTCCATTTCGGTATACACTAAAAACCCGTTCTGGTGCAGCGGCATGCGGAACGTATTCTTGAGTTCGAAATGCATTCCACCGCTCGGAATACACTAAGAACACGTTCCGGCCCATGTCGAGGGCGGACAATGTTTTGACGATATCTAGTGACTTGGTTGATACTAAATGCCACAACCCTCGAATATTTCGAAGTTCGTGCGAGAAAATCAAGATTTACTTTGTATACATGAGGAACGTAGGCAGAACGTGTTCTGCGTATAACGACCATATCGGGGAAATGACAGTCGCGCGGGTGTCATTTTGGTGTATTTCCCGGCGCATAACCCTGTACATGCGCAAGGAACACGATGCGTGAGAAGGTTTACGAAACATGATGGTAACATATTAGGTGCGTGGGCATACCACGCGACCGTGGTGGCGCCAAGGTGACGTATTCCACCAGGCATTTCCCGTTGGCCGCGAAGAAGGTGGTCCACCAATTGGGGGACGAGTATGACCATGGCGTACGCGACAACGACCAATCGCCTTGTTGCCGCTATCCCGTCCAGAACTTGCATGCCAGGCACTTGTCTATAGACATGTGCCCTCCGGGGTCCTTGCCTGGAACTTGGCATCGCTTGCGTTTGGCATCGCGCGCAGCTGCGAAGGCTTGAGGTTCTTTGGGGGTTCCTCCCATGCTGCAGATGCTGTAGATGGACGCGTGCGCGACAAAAAGAAAAGTCAAACGGCGGCTTAAGCAAATGTCTGAAAATGCCCGAACCCCCATGCAGCATGGCTTTCGGTTCCCCCCCACCATGCCCCTACCATGCCCCTGCGTGTGACAGCAACAATCGTTAGCGCCTGATAACAACCGATTTCGCTCGAACAGCGAATCTGAACTGACGCACGCTGATGCAGATACGATTCCGCCAGAATTCGCCGGCGAAATGTGATGCGATAACTTAACGTCATGTTTAATCGAGGTGACTTCGCGATTTCAGGTCTCGATGTCACAGATCCGTCCCCTTCCCACAGCGTGCCCAATATCACGTATCTAGTTTAAGCCCCAAAGTCTTTCACGAACGTCATCGAAAAATATAGACTACGTTCAGTGCGCACGGATAGAAACGAAACTAAAAAAGCGCCTCGGTAGTGCTTTTCAGCGTAGAAATTTGAACTAAAAGCACCCCATCCAAGTAACCTTCCATCCAGGAACTGCGAAACCCATCTCGCAAACAAATTCTGAATCATTTCAAGCGCCGAAAAGCGTCGCAGCACGCCCAGCAAAGCACGGGACGTGGGTTGCACAGACAGCGTGTCACTCTACGGTGTCTAAGCCCTCACAGACGGGTTTAGGATTTCAAAAAACATGTTTCGCAAAATATTTCCGCGCCTCGGAGCTTGAAGTGACCGACGGTGCATGCTGTCGACGTGGCAATGGGTGGCCTGATGTACCTGACCAGCGTGTACAGTCGTTGTCAAGTATGAAATCGTGTTACCGGACTTTGGCGCGGTTTCCTTGACAAACGAATATACCGGCCCCAGTGTCATGTGGGCGGCCTTGGGTTTATCCTCATCAAATGGGGGTGCACGCTATAAAACGTTAGACATTATTACCATCCTAGTCGTATTCAGGGCATGGTAATAGAGAGTAGGTTGCGCAAAAAATCGTGCTTCATTCTACTTAACGAGCTGAGGCCGCGTTTCCAATTCCACGTCAGATTCAGTCGTGAAGTTCGCGCGTGTAATTGAAAATCACGAAGCGCATCTGTTATGGTTCGCGATGCAGTCATCAGATATGGTATAAGCGGCGAAGCTGCCGAATCGCGAATCGTGTCATATTTGAAACTGTATGAGTATCACCGAATACCCAACGAAGTCATCAACGGCTTCGCGTAGCTTAGTGGTAAAGCGATCGCCCTGTAAGCGAGAGGTCCTAAGTTCGATCCTCAGCGTGGATGCATTTTCCCCACGCGCTGAAAAAAAGGGTCGAGTCAACTGGAGAAAAAAAATGAAAAATCCTCACGGCTATTTATAGTCTCTAACAACATTTTTAGGGTTGTGCAAACGGAAGAAAACCACATTCGCCTTCGTGTTGTATAATTATCTATCTACTGTTTCAGAATACACTCGAGAGCTGGGTCGGATATTCGCTGATATCCTCAAGTGAAATAAGCCGACGGATACTGAAACGGCTAAGTCGAGACTGAAACCTAAAACCCGAAACACTGTACTAGTACTGCCTTGTCCCAGATTTGTCACAGATCTAGGAATCTGAAAAGGGGGTTTCACCGAGGCTCTCGGGAGGGACTGCCCAAACAGATTTTGTCAGCTACGAACACTTTCACGCATGGGAATCTTTCTCTCTTACGACTAAATTCACAGCATAATCAAACGTGGCACGGGAGCGTGGCCTCCGCTCTTCACGGAGAACGTCGGGGATCGTTTGCACAACCTATTCCAAGATATATGCATACATATGCGTTCGCATTAATTTTATATGAAAATTGTGAGCTTGAGATTATTCGCCCCCCAAAAATGGAGGTATGATCCGGAATGAAAAATTTTCTGTTCGAAACTTTGAACACCAATTCCTATGAACAAATCACACATACCATCTACCGATAAACATTTGAATTAATGAAAAATCATACAGAATACACACAATACAAATAACATCACCGTTAACACAATGCAACATGCTAAGTGACACATCAAGCGCCTGGTCTGATAAGAATTTCGTCGCTGTACCGAACGATTTCAGAGCCGACAAAAACCAGGAAAGCGGGAAATGAGGAGGGAACACTAAGAATGACTCACGCCATACATAGCATGTGAGTGAGGCAGGGGTGGATGCAAATTATGCGCTCTTTACATCTCTGGTCTTTGAACACCAGATTAAATATCGATCTGATGTCCGGTCTTCTCCCATATCCAAAACACGGTGTTCTTCACGGTGCAACACGTAAGCTAAGAACTTTGCTAAAAAGCTACCAAATTTGCAAATTCCTGAGTTCTCTGTATGTCCGATCCTTCATACGTCACACGTAGAAACTCTCAGGCATAAGCGTATGCTTTGTTCCGTGGCACTACTGCATATGTGGCCGCGCAAAGCGCCTTGTGCACGTAAAGAACTACTAGTGCAGATAAAAGTGCAATAGTCAAGACCGCCACAGCCTGACGCACGGCTTGCAAGGCGGTACCACTTGCAGGCATCACCGTTTGCCAAGGCGGTGGGGTGGGGGGTACTAAGGGAGGCGGCGGGAATGGGGGATGCATCGGAGGAGGGCTAGGGGAAGGAGGCTGCGGGGGAGGCGAAGGAGGGGGATTGATGGGGAACTGGGGTGGAGGGGAGTCCATGAACTGGCTAAGCAGTTGGAATACCTCATCCCCTTGTACCACTTGATGGCGTGTGTCGGGGCTCCCAAGTTGCATGGCTCGGACCAAACCCATCGCAGCCTCCCTGTTCAACCAAACAACATCGTCGCGTTGAAAGAAAGAAAAAACGGCCACTTTAGCATAATTGAGGGCTAACGACGGCTAGTGCCACGCACGACGATCCCCAGGACATGGACTCTGCGTGAACTCCATGGGTGCTGTCAAGGGTGGCACCGAGTCGTGCCATGGTCGCGGATCCTGACAGCTGATATGACATTCTAGCTTAGACCACCCTCAGATGGCACGAGGGAAGGTAAGGAAAACTCCGTTCTCTGTGTGCGGTTGTTTCACTAGGACAGAGCAGACGACAAACTGCAGGCCGGAACGAGTGATTCGGCACTGTTCCACACCACGAAGGGAGCAGCGGATATCTCAGGCATCAGAGAACAGCACGAGCCGGCGGACCAGCTCGATTCGCGTTTCAATTGCCCCTGTCGCTTTGCTGTAATCTGAGGACAGATGTCTACGTTTACGATCAGAATGCCGAAGAGGGTGGCTAAGACGGTTCGTGGGTCCTTGGTTCTTGAAGCTGACAACATGCTTGGCCCCTAAACTGGCATCAACTTCGAAGACAGAAAAAAATTGTGTGATAGTATGCACCTATTTCGCCCTGAGAGCGCTGAAACGAAGCGCTCGTCGGAGCTATCAGAAAGGGTTCAGACGTTCAGACATGTAGAACACAGTGGTGGACGCGATGCGCGCACACCTGCTAGACTTGACATGATCGCTAAAAGAAAGTATGACACGTATATTCTCAGCAATGTTATCTGAAGGACACGAAATGGTTTTTAAACATATTGGCCTTTGCGACGATCTTCGCTGATTGGGGACAACGCTTGGGCATGGGCACGGGACTTCGGCTTCACGGGACTTCAGCTTCAACTTTACTCAAGCTATGCTAGTGTTATGGAAGCTTTTCAGTGTAAATCATGTATAGGAAGCTTCGCGTTGGGGTTTGCGACGAGAGCAAGCCCTGTCCAAGGGGTTGTTTGCAGCGCAAGCTCCAAGCCATGAAACATGCCGCTGGCAGTGGCAACAGAATTTGGCAACAAAACTCGGAGAAGAAACATGCTTTTTTTTCAAACAGCTTAATGGGGCGTGCTTGAAGAGGCCGTACTGATCAGGAGGTGCTGGCCGTCCCGGAGGGAAGCTTGGTTTCGGTGGGTAGTGAGGGGGGTATTTAAGCGGCGGGGCGTTTGGAACGTTGGGATCCACGGTCAGTTCTTCGCTCATGGCTACAGCTCCATTGGTTCTCGGCAAGGGCGTGATTGCAAAGTCTTTGCCTCTGAGTGGTACCACGGCTCTTTCTCTATTGAGCTTTTTCCCGCGACCTCCTTCGACGGCAGGTGCGAGTGCCAACAGGAATACCGTGCACAGTCGTAAGATGTAGACTGGTGATGCAAGACGAGGTAGCCCTACTGACGACCAGCATGATCCCTCCTTGCCGCACCTCATCTTCCCAGGCGCAACACTGCCGTACGAGAAAGAGGGCCTGCACGCTTACTGAGGCGAATTCGGGGAAGCTGGACGCCGAGTCGAACACGTCAAGACAAGCAGAACACCATCCTCACAGATCAAAACGCCTTTCGAACACCGTGAAAGATGAAACCGTAATATTTCCAGAATATTGCGTGGTTTCACAACTTCGCCGTGTTGCGAATACGTCAAATGTCGAAATTTGGTGTATTCTGCTTCTGGCAGCGAGGGAACGAGTGAATGACCCTGTGGACTCTTGTCGAGGCCAGACGAGAGACTCTCACTCTGGACTGCGACTGGTTTTTTCATCGTTTCCGTTTGATCGGATGATTTTTCTTTTTGGAAAGTTCAATCATTGAATCGATGCGAGAAATCGAATGGCCGTGAGCGTGACCAACGCAAGACCCGTCCAGCTGAGAGTCTTAATAGGGGTAGTGCTCACCCCCTGAGCACTAACTTTTTTGGACGTGAGAATAATTGCGCTCATGACGAATATAATTAATATATTCCTGATTTTATATTTTATTATCATTATTTATCTATTGGTATATCAATCGCGCAGGGTCACTCGTCCACCCCCCTTATGTAGGGGCTATTAAGGGGGGTCCGCGACGAGACCCCAATTTAGCGGGCAAAAAATACCCCTTGTCAGATTAGAGGGATTACCCCATCCCAACGCCCCGCCCACAGCCCTAGGCATACATCCAATCCCCTCAACCCCATGGGGGGGTCACTTGGGTAAGGAAAAACATACTATGATAGGGTGTTGAATTTCAAAAAAATGGCCCGGAAAACGTTTGGGGGTTTTGACCCAAAGCCCGAAGCCCCCTACTGAAATACTGCCGGCATCGTATCTCGGGTGTGCCGGACAACACAGTTAACAGTCCGCAGAGCGCGGTATTTCCGTGATAGATAACTTGTGATAAAAGATAATAACGAAGACAATTGTTAAACCTAAACCTAGAACCTCGAACGGTCACGGTTACTGTACTGCTACTACTACTCGAGTCTAGACAGACTCAGATTGGACTTGGGTCTGGAAGGGGGCCTGAACCGAGACTCTCGGACAGGGCTGCCCAGCCAGATCCCGGCAAACCACCTCCAATCTGGAGAGTGGTCTAGAGTGACAGCAGTCATACGACAAGAAATAGTTAGGGCACTTGGCCCGGCTAATCCTATTGTGCCATTATGATAAAACTAGCTGCTGCAACTACAATCCTAAGCACAAACCAATGCAGCAGCAAACTCAAGATGAGGCTTTTGAAAACTTAAAACAAATAAAGTTGTCTGTCAAATTGAAAGGAGGTCTCGTTGTAGATGTCAAAGTAAAACCGTGCACCGCACCTGCAGTGCACCTCCAGATGCTACCCAGCTGTAGACTCACCATAAGCAATCACGGGGACACCACCTGGTGCGCCGCCAGGTGCACCACCAGACACTGTGTCTGCACCACCAGACAGCGCGGCAGCCTGGAAAGCTGCAATTTGATGAAGAAAGAGATATATGAATATATATATATATCACTGCAGGGGCGGAAACGGACTACGTTCAGGCTTCCGGTAGTGGACTAAGGTAGATAATAAAATACCGGATAGTGTTTTATTATCGCAGAGCGAAACGAACACACGGATAGGCGAGATGCAAGTGACACCACAGGGCGAGGGTTGACACAGGAAGAGACAGTCACCCCCAATTTTATGGGGGGGGCAAAAGTCTGTCTCCCCGTGACACCACCTCACCTCGAAGGCGTGAGGTGCCACGATGCAGGCCTGCCAGCCCTACGGATTATTGCTCCATTCATCCGTGTGGATTTGCATATGGACAGCGTATGGACATCGTAAGGATCCATATGGACAACCGTATGGACAGTCTGAACAGATTTCTGGCGAAACCTTGATGCATATGTAAGAACCATATGGACGACGCGTAATTGTGGTGTCCATATGAAAATGTCCCATGGACACCGTAAGGATTTCGTATGGACGCCGTATGGACCACCGTATGGACACCGTATGGACAGAAAATATGTCCACATGGTGTCCATACG